GCAGGGGGAGGTGGGGAGCGAGGGGGCAGTGGGAGATGGGGGGCAGGCACAGGTTCTCTCTCACCCTCCAGAGTCCGGGCTGTACCTCCCTTGCCCTCGGTGTCTCCCCACTCCCCACCCCCACATTCTGCTCACTGCTCTCAGCAGACCTCTCCCCTCTAGGCAAGAGGGGCAGGAGCTCAAGTTCAGGGCTCATTGACTTGCACGCAGGCAGATCCCGCCCCCGCCTGCGTGGAGGAGCCTGGCCGCCATGGACAGCACTAGAGAGCTCTGTTCAGTATTTGATGAGTGTGCGCTTGAGACACGTCAGCCGAGGGGCAGGTGAGAACCTACGGCGAGCCCAGCGTCCGGCACGCAGCTGTCACCTGCTCCCTGAGATGAGAAGCAGCTCCCACGCAGCCCTGCGGGAGCCGGGCGGGCGGTGTGGGCCTCCAGAAGGAGGCGCTCCCGGAGTCTATCTGGCACCGGAAGGGGACCAGCCAGACCACCTGTGGGGGCTGCAGACGGGGCACTCCCAAACTCAGGGCCTCGGAGGAGCTGCTGGTCCACAGCATGAGCCCGCGGGACACCGCGCCTCAGTTTCCCCAGACTGGGTTGGAGGCGATGAGGGGGCCATTGCTGGTTTTAATTTATTTGTGAATGAACAGGCACGTGTTGGAGGGAGCGGGAGACAGAGGACAGACTGGCCGGCACCTGGCCCGGGGGCTTCACTCCCCTGGGGAGAGCGCTGAGGGCAGTGACGGGCATCCCGCCCACGTGAGCGAGCATCTCCAGCTTCTGTCTCTGCTCCCTTAGCCAGTGGGTGCCAGGGACCGCTGTGGGCCGGGCGCCGCGCTGAGTCGTGGATGAATCATCCATCCATCGGCCCGGGCAGCAGCGTCCCCCGGTGGAGGAAGGATCTGACACTGCACCAGTCAGCAGGTGCCCCCGCCCCCCCACCCACGTCCCCACCTTCCCAGGGAGGCTCTGTGCCAACTGGAGTGGCTGTGCCCGCCCCGCCCGATTCCACACGGGCGTCCATCAGAGCCGAGCTTCGGCAAACCACCACGTTCAGTGTGAGCATGTGGCATGCAAGCGTGGCTGGTCCCTGCTTTTATTTGCTCTGTCTGGCAACACTGCCCACCCGGAGGCAGCCGGCAGTCTGGGCCCCGGACGGGGCCAGACAGGTGGGGTAGGCCATTCGACAAGGCGCCTCTCTGAGAAGCCTGGCTTGCTCTGCGCCTCCCCCTCCGTGCCCCGGGGGACACCGGCAGAGGTGAAGCTAGACGGTGCTGACGGGCAACAAGGTCCCTGAGAGCCGGCTCTGCTAACCGGGGAGACGGGCAGGCAGGGGCACGGCAGGCAGGCCCTCCAGACATCAGGGCTGATCCTATGGCTGGTGCCGCGCCGGCCCAGCTGTCACCCAAGTCAGGAGCTGTTTGCCAGCAGCTACCGAAGGAGCCCTCCCGGAAAATGACCCTGGGCGAGCTGCAGAGGGCCGGCCTCGGA